ATAAAAAAGAAATATTTTAAATAATGACTGACTGCCCAGAAGGGGTAGATCTATGTTCTTTTTGTCTTTCAGAAAATTAGAGAAAACTGATGCCAGCTGAAAAGCAATTCAACATCTCATGAATTTACTGGCACAATAGGAATTCTGTTCTGTGTTCTATGTGTCCTGTCTTGTGGTGTTTGTCTTGTGGCCAGAATTGCTGTGTTTAATTTTTCATAGGACAGTTTAGTTTAAAACTAAATAGAAGGGTTAAATTAAAATGCAGATACTTGTTTTATTCAACTTGGAATACAAAGGGTTTGGATAATATCAGGAAAATGTGATATACCAAAGTTTATTTTTCTTTCTTAAGCAAATGTATTAAATTTCATTGGCCAGATCTTTTAATTGAAAAAATTGTTAAAATTCACACACCAACGGTCTTTGGAGGCAAGGACATGAAAGGTTAACCCACTCCCCATATTATACATGGGATCCTTCTGGCTACCTCACATTTCTAGCCAGAGGGCTGGGGAGGGAGGAAAGCTATTGGACACCAGAGGTTGTACCAAGTGGACTCCTCAAAAGTGGGTGTGCTTGTCCTGGCTTGTTGCTCCAAAGCTCTGTAATAAAGCCATTTTCCTAGAAGCGTGTATGTGGCATACATTGAACAATAAGACTAAAGTGCTGTATACTGGGGCAATGTACATGTGTTCATTTCTGAACAAAGGTGTGTAAGTGGAAAGTGAAAGTTTCCTTTGCAGGTTCATAGAAGCCAAGAAGGGGAGAAAAAAAAAAAAGAACAGAGGACGAGCTAATTCAACGCTGTAGCTGGCAGGCTCGGTCCAAAGATAAGACGCTGGCCTGCCCAAGGACACTACTCACAGCTAGGATTTGGCTAACAGCCAAGAAAGAGGGGGGCTTGAATGTGCCCAAGCAGCTGTGAGATCTGTAAAACACTGATCCTGTATCAGTAGGAAACCGCTTGGCCGATGAGGCTGCTAGAACCACTGCCTTACAAAATACTCAATTCACCTCTTTTAACCTGGCAACAGCAAGCCCCAGACAGTGAAAAAATAACCTGGGAGAAATGGGGAGCTAAGCCTGATTCCACGGGAATGTGGGAGTGTGATGGTTGTTTTGTTTTACTTAAAAACCAACAGAGTGCAGTGATGGAACAGATCCACAAAAAATACACACTTGGGAGCAAATAAAATGGCCCAAATTATGTTAAGACTGTTTGTTTCCCCAGGACTTTACGAAGTAGTCAGAAGGACAGTAGAAAAGTGTGCTCTGTGTCAGCAGTGTAACCCAAGGGGTGTAAATAAGCAAGCACCACCTGGGGGGGCGCAGGTGGGCTCACAGGCCTATGCAGCATGTACAGATTGATTTTACTGATTTACCTCCCCTGAAAGAAAATGGCATTTATTAGTCATAATAGACCAGCTCACTGGATGGGTGGAAGTTTATCCCACCGCTCGAGCGACTGCAACTGCTGTATGTAAGGTATTACTTAACGAAATTATACCAAGATTTGGCCCCCCTGAAATAATTGACTCAGACCAAGGTACTCATTTTACCGCAAAGATTTATAATGAACTGACCAATGCGGTAGGAACAAAATGGGCTTTTCACGCTCCCTGGCATCCCCAGAGTTCAGGCCAGGTGAAGCGGATGAACGGAACTCTAAAAAAATCTTTTGACAAAATTATGCCGGGAACTCAATATGAGATGGACTGAAGTCCTTCCTCTAGCTTTCTATACCATTCAAACAACTCCGAGTGCCAGAACTAAACTGGCACCTTACAAAATCCTGTCTGGACATATACCCCCAACTTTCACTCCTTTGATATCAGTTCCCAACGATACTGATATGACCAAAGCCACAGAGACTTATGCAAAAGAATTGCAGAGACATCTAGTGACATTGCAACAATACTCTGCACACTCCCAGTCCTTACCTTTGTGGGAAGCTGTTCATTCTTTTTTACCAGGTGATCCTGTGCGGGTAAAAGCATATAAGAAGACTCCGCTTCAACCACAGTGGCTGGGACCCTTTGAAACCCTTCTGGTGACCCCTACCGCTATCCGAGTGAAGGAGCTACCCAGCTGGATCCATCATACCAGAGTCAAGAGGAGCACGGCTAGGGAACCTGACCTGGAGAAAGGTTCCCCAGAAGCAGACGGCGTCGGACTTCAAGGGAGCTATGCACGTTTACCCCACCGTGAACCGGGTGAATCAGAAGCAGACGACATCTGTGCTCAAGACAAATGGACTGCTACCCCTTTGGGCGACCTGAAGCTCCGGCTGCAGCTAAAAAAACCTTGAGTTGGTGGTGTCCTCTCAGGGAAAGATGGCCCCGTTCTCTAAGCTGGGTTCTTGTGTTTTTAATGTGTTTAAGTATTTGTTATCTTTCTTTTCTGGTGGTACGGGGAGTTGAGACTATAGACTCACACAGTTCTAACACATTTATACGTCTTGCCCATGAAAAGAAGTCTTGTATGCCCGCCCTACAAAACACTTCATGCTGGGTGTGCTCATTAATACCAGCAGATAGCCAAAAAGGTCTTCCCATGGTTCCTATTCCCCTTAGTGCAAATAAATATGACCTGGACCCCGTCCTGGAAGGATTCTACAGGCAATTGAAATATTACCTGGGCTGATACCGGCGTCTCTGAAAGCAGGTATCTAATAGCTTGGAAACGAGTCGGTCAATGGTGCCTCTTAAGAGAAGGGAAAATAGCTTTGGGTAATACTGAGTGCACAGTCTACTTTAACGGCACTCATTTCGAGAGTAAAAGAGGTCCTAATATCTCTCTCCCCCGGATGGGGCAACCTCTTGCACCTCCGCGTGGTATAGATTCGCGGGTAACAAGTGCAGTCTGCCTGGGGAAAAACGTTTTTTGTATAAAGATCATAAGCTGATTGACCATTACGCTATAAATTGCACGCTGGGGTATAACCTGCCAACTCATACTATGTGTTTATGTTCCTCTAACGCCAATGCCTAAATTCTCCCTCCTCCCATCTTGGACCGGATGGTACAAACTTACTAATAATACCTGGTCCAAAGTCACTCCTACCCTTTTTGGAGTATACTGGGTGTGTGGTAACAAAGCATACCTAGCCCTCCCTCCTTCCTGGAGTGGATCCTGCTACTTGGCTTGGTTAGAACAACCTGTAGTATATCGCACATGTCTCCCTAAAGGAAGAATTAGGAATGTAAGGGGGGCTGAGGAAGACGTAAATGACTCTCGCCCCCTTACTTGGCGTGCCCTAAATGACTGGACGGGTGCTTGTGCAGGATTTGTCTTCGCCTGTGGAGGTGCCCCTGGCGTAGTGGGGAAGGAGTCACGAGACTTCAGGGAGTGTTGGAGATGATGGCAAATACCACTGCCGATGCCTTAGTAGATTTGGCAACCAAACAAAAAAAAACTAAGGCAGATGGTTCTCCAAAACCGCTTGGCATTAGATATTTTTGCTGGCCTCTCAGGGAGAAACATGTACGTTAATTGGGCAAGAAGGCTGTGTATATGTTCCGGACGTTTATAGCGCCACCTGGGAAAGAGCAAACCACCTTATGCAAGTTGCAAAACACCATGAAGAAGAGCGAGTCAACACATGGTGGAGCAATTTGTTCAACTGGGTTCCAGATATAGGTGGCTGGTTACATAACTTGCTTCGGAGTGCCGTTGTGATTGTTTGTGGCCTAATAGTTTTGTATGTTATGTTAAGATGTGGCTGTTAGATGGGTACCAAGCTGTGCCCTACCAACCAGTGAATATTTTTAAGTCACTCCACACAGAGACCAGTATGTCCCAAGAGTTCCCCTATGGCACTCTTGGGGCAAAGGAGGGACTGTTAGGTGAGAAAAGCTAAAACAGGAGGCAGTTATGCCAACCGAACCAAAGTCAGGCTAAGAGAGGCTGCTGGGAAAGTCTCTGAAAGTAGAATGAAGGAATATTTGTTTAAGTTACAGAGAGTGAGAAAAAAGGGGAGGCCTGCATTCCTGTACCAGATGTGCTGGGAACAGTCCTTGAGATACAGAGGCGCTGCTTTCCACTCCCTACTTTTGTGTTATGTCTGTTTTAACTCCTCATCTCCTGGTTGACACCCATACCGATAAGAAAGTTAGTGAAGCACTGTGATTTGCTAAAAGTTATCTACAATAAGGGGGGTAGATGTGCATGCATATAGAGAAAGAAGATTTTAACTAATATAGGGGAGGGGTGGGCTGCTTTATGAATAAATTTGTGACGCGACGGAACCGTTTATAAAAACCTATTAGTTTTACTTAGAGGCTGCTGGTTCTCTTTGGAGATGGGCTGCTCTCTATTGTTGCGTGCACTCTTCAATAAAGAGCTGTGTGTTCAGACCTTGCTGGTGTTGCCTGTCTCTCTCTGGTCAGACAACGAACCGTGCCATCTGGGGTTCGAGTCCTTGACAAGAGGATTAGAGCTTGGCCAAATTTAGACAGCTTTCCATAGGACGAGCAAAAGGCACCTCTCTGACCCAAGGGCCACCCCCTGCCCTAGTATCGAGGCTTGGTGCCAACACCCCATTAAGAACATGAGGTGTTTCAGCCACACTGCGCTTGCCTGAGGCTGGCTGCAGACTCAGGCAGACTTTCCCTGCTTTAGATACACTTGCTACACATTGCAGAGGAAAAGCCTGACTGCGCCAAGGGCTAGGAACTTACCTTTTATTTAAGTAAAAAGCTAATAAGACTGTCATCCCCTGACTCCAGGAGTTGGAGCTAGGTCTACAGCCCCATCTACGCCTTAGTCTGGCCTTGCTTTGCACATTACGTGAGCTCTGCAGGGGTGGGAGCGGGCCGGGTAGGACAGCTGTGTTAGCACTGAGTCACCCCGTGAAGCAGGATATGCTGTTCTAGGAATACTCCACCCTCGCTGAGCGAGAAGACAGATATCGCAGGTAGAGGAAACCGAGATCACTCCTGCTGAAGCATTAGGTGCCGCCAGCCAGCCTCACCTGAGCGCTGCCAAAGGGATTTCATAGCATGTCCGTGCAGCAGAGAAAGAACAGGGCTGTCATCATTGTCAATTATGAGTTCCACAGCAGGGCTGTGTCGCTATCACCCAGGAAAGGGGCCAAGAGAGAAGCAGACAAGCTGTTTAAAGCACTATCCAAACTCAACTATGCAGTGAAGTTGCACTATGACCAGACAGCCAAGGAAATAGAGGAGATCTACCAGCAAGGTACGCGTCCCCTGCTTTGCTCCTGGCAGTGTGCGAAGCTGCGTGTTGGGACCAATGGATGGATGGGTGGGGCTTGCATTATATTTGTTGCAGTTTGGAACATCAATTGTGTACAGTTGTGATTGTCTATTCCTCCACACACACAGACACACACCCCTTGGGCTGGCATATCCCAGGCAGCACATGCCACTCACAACCCCCAGTCCCCTAGGGAGGGTATATTTATAATCCCCTCCCTTGCTTGGTCCTGCTCTCAGGAGAGATGTGACTGAGATGGACGTCTCGGGGAATGGGAGAGCAACCAAAGAATGAGAGGGGGGAATCCTAAACCTCATGGCCAGAAAGGGCCATGAGGATCACCTACCCATGGGGCGACCAGCCTGTAGCATGTGAGGTTGTAAACTGCGTCCCTCGGGGGTGACCGGCCTAAGGGGCAAATGTTGAGTTTGGGTGGAAAATGAGCTCTTAGCGAGTCCACACAGGAGGATTTGAGTCAGCACCATTGCCACAGGTAGGAGGCTCTGTCGCCTCAATTACCTCCTGGTGGGGCCGCAGGGAACAGCTGTCCCTGCCCAGCTGGCAACCTGCTGCATCACAGGAGGGAACAGACTCGTTCTGGCTGTTGCAATGCCCGCTTCCCTGCCAGGCTGCACAATCCCAGGGATAGCAGAAAGGAGCACGGCTGGTTCTGTCTGCACCAAAGGGAGCTCCTTGCTGAGGACGGCTCCCCTCCTCATACAGCCCAAGAAAGAGGAAGAACCAGATATACTAAGAACCAACAGGGTACAGCTCCCTGATTCTCTGCCCCAGCCCAGCTTAGAGCAGTCTTGAGGCTGCTCTAGCTTGTGCCAGCTGCTCTGGTCCCTAAGGGATCATTATATGCCATCTGGGGAGAACCTGAGCTCAGTGCATTACAGCTACTGCCTGTTCCTGCCTTGGGCACACCCTTCCTCCAGGCTGAAAAGGTGCCTGGACCTCCTGCCAGCCCCAGAGTCTCCCCCTGGGATTCCTGCATCAGGCCCCATCACTCGAGGTGGCGCTGGGGCAGATCTTTTAGAAAAAGATGCCCAGTCTTAATTGAGAAACTCCACGTGATGGAGAACCCACCACGTCCCTAGATAACACGTTAACAGTGAGGGTGCTGGGCCACTGGGACGACTTATCTCCTCTCTGAGTTTATCCAACTTCAGGGACCAACGACTGGATCTTGCCTGGCCTTTGTATGCTAGGTTAAAGAGCCCTTTACCATCAGAGGTCTGAGTGATGGGGTCCACTGCTGTAGAGGACTGAGGTGCTCATGGAAGAGGTGGGGCATACACATACCCTAAAGAGGACCCCAGCAAGTGTATTTATTCCCACAACACCCCCATGAGGCAGGGGGGCATTCTTCCCATTTTTACAGATCTCTCTGGGCAAAATACTTAGGGAAACTGAGGTCCAGGGTCACCCAGTGAGTCTGAGGCAGAGAATTGACCCCAGCTCCCCTATCATAGAATATCAAGGTTGGAAGGGACCTCAGGAGGTCATCTAGTCCAACCCCCTGCTCAAAGCAGGACCAATCCCCGATTTTTTCCCTGATCCCTAAATGGCCCCCTCAAGGATTGAACTCACAACCCTGGGTTTAGCAGGCCAATGCTCAAACCACTGAGCTATTCCTCCCCTATGTCCCAGGCAACAGGCCCATCCTTTCTCCTAGTGGGTACCAGCCAGACATCAGGCTACTCTAAGGAGCTGCTGCGCTAATATGTCTTCACAGAGAGCCGGGAGGAACATGGTGATTGCTTTGTCAGCATTCTGTCCAGCCACGGCGAGGAGGGGGCCATATACGACTGCAGGGGAGAGCTGGTCAAGCTGACAAGGATTTTCCAGATGTTATCACCCCAAAGGTGCCCAGTGCTAGCTGGAAAGCCCAAGGTCTTCTTCATACAGGTAACCTGGGAACCACCAAACAGGATCAGACCCGAGGTTCATCTAGCCCAGTATTCTGTCAGCGACCAGCACCAATGCTTCAGAGGGAGGTGTAAGAGCCCCACAACAGCAGATGTGGGACCTCCACATTAGGGCTCAGCCTGGTTTAAGCCCTTAAGCCTGAGGTTTAATATCCCTTCCAGAACTTATGTCATTACTTAGAACAACTCTGGATATTCTTGTTAGCCATATGAATGTCCAGTCCTTTTCTGAATCTCACCAAGTTCTTGGCCTCAGTGACATCATGTGAGTTCCACGGGCTAATCACATGCTGTTTAAAGTACTGTTTCCTTTTCTCAGGTTTGAATTTCTCACCTTTTGAGTTCATTTGGATGTCCCCTTGTCCTGTTACAGACAGGGAGAACTGAAGCTCCCAACCTACTCCAGACCAGAGGTTCTCATACTGGGGGGCATGGAATGTATGGGGCAGGGGGGAAGCCTGGGAAGCTTTGGAGAAATAAAACCCACTTACTGGGCACTTTTTACTCACAACAATGAATAATTAGCAAAGCTGATTCCTCCAGACATAGCAGGTCCTCAGATGGTGGATTTTGATGGATTTCTGTTAAGCTTGCCTAGCCTTATACTAAGTCATTGTCATTGGCACGGTAATCCATTTGGTACGATCCGATCAGTCCGATCAGGGTTACGTGCTCAGGTACATCGGCTCGAGGTGCAACTGTGTTCTTTTACAGCTGTGCTAGAGAGGTAGATTGGAACTGGTAGGAGAGCAATGTGCCCAATTGACAAACATTTACACAACCAAAAGTATCAAGTTCAGCTCTGATAGGGAGGGTCGGATCATTAGACAGCCACACGTATTCCAATAAGCAGCCATCTGTGCAAGTGTTTATGGCATTGCAAGGTTCACAGATATTACGCAGGACGCTGCTGGAAATCAGCTCCCGAAAGCGTGCAGTGCATTGCCCGTTCTTCATTATTTTCTTGTGTTAACATGTGTCATTCGTCCATGCCATGGGAACAGCCACCCAATACAAATAGCGACAGACCACCACATGATTCATCCCAACAATTCAGCGAATGGTTACACCCCATGAATGACAGAGTCATTCATCAAGGTCTCACTAACAAAGAGAGGGGCTTACATTGCACCGAGGAGTTCCTGTAACTCTGGAGTGAATCTGGGGACTGAACATTTGAGACCAAGGCTAACGGATCACTTTGCCTCAATCTTGCCAGTTTACCACCAGCTCCAGGATGACCCAAAGTGCTCTACAGCTCACAGATATTTTGTGGCATATGTGATAGCATCACAAGTCTCAGTTCTCTGCCTAATGGCTAAAGGCTTACACAGTCTTTGCCTCATATGGGCCTCAGCTCCCTGGGAAATTGGTATTGGGTGTTTAGGCTGAGATCCCATTCTACATGCTGTTTGGAACCACTGCTGTTCAAGGACTGGTGGCTGTAGCATGACCAAAAATCATGCATTAAGAATATACCCATGTCACTGGTTTCTCTTCCTACACCCCATAGCAAGTTACACAATCCAGTCTGGAGGCAACAAACATGTGGGTTATCATGGCCACTGCCTCATCATGGTGGAAGGGGTGGGGTGTCCTAGTAACCTAGAGAATGAAGGTGGTATCTTTTCCAGTGATGCTACCTTACTAACTAGACTTAAAAAGAAAAGGAGTACTTGTGGCACCTTAGAGACTAACCAATTTATTTGAGCATGAGCTTTCGTGAGCCACAGCTCACATGGCTTTAGTGGAAATGTAGGACAGAGTCTTAGCTAATTCCCTAAAGCCTTCCCTACCCTTCTGACAGCATCTTCTCCATCTTACCCGAGTTCACCTGGAGCCAGGAATTCTTCATGCTGGTGCTGATCTACAGGCATTCTAGCTTCCTGGAGCATCTGTGAACAAGGAGATAAGCAGCCAGGTGTCATTGGCATACCGTTAGCAGAAAGTGTCTCCACCTGGGCTCCGGTAGATATTGATGAACGGTAAAGACAGGTTGACTCCTGGTGGGATGGGCTCCCCCCAACCCCTCACCCTCTTTGGGTCCTGTTGGAGAGGAACAATTGGAGCGTAGAGCTGTGGCATCTTCTCCAGTGGAATCACAGCGGTTACTGTGCTGAAAGCAGCAGTGGGATGTAGCAGTACAAGCAGAGGGTCAGGCAAATTTTTCAATAGTGTCTAAGAGGCTCTTCTGTGCAAGTCCCATTTTCAGAAATGACCATCCCATGGCAACCTGTGACAACATCAGTTTTGAAAATGGGACTTAGGTGGCTTAGAAAATCTCACCCACAGGCTTGGTCCATTAGTCCCTTAGTGCTAGCAGGCGGTCTCCCTGCTCTGCATAGACTCCATGGTCTGCAGTCTGTTTGCCTAGGAGTTGGGGACTTGGCGATGGTTGGAAGAGTCTCCTGCAGAACATTACATTATTCAGGGAGATTGTTGGGTTTTTCCACTTGGAAAGAGGCCATGATTTCTGTTTAGCTGCTAAACCAAAGGGGAAGTTTACAGAGGCTGAAAGTAATTAACCAGTTGGAATTGGTCCAGGGCCTAAGGGCTAATGTGCCAATTCTTCGAAAACATGTCATGGGATCTTTCATGAACTCAGTGGTTCGAGACAGAAAGCCATGCTCTGAGACAGCTCCAGCCCCCGGTAGCGCCAGTCAGTCGCATCAGTTCAGTAATATCTGAGAAGAGCTCCACTTTAGGGCATCACCAATGCCACTCCTAACAGGACTCTGGGGGTGGCTTTTTGGAAGGGGGGGGGGAAGGTCTCCCATCCTCAGATTAGCCTGAGGGAACCTCGCTTAGCTAGCACAGGCCAACGAGCTCAGAGTACTACAGGTACAGCATTTTAGTATACGATGTTTTCTCTCCCCAAAACACGGGGAGAAATAATCACCTCCCAGGGGGTTCCCGTAATAAGAGGGCTTGTGGGGCATCAGGAACTAACTGCTGAGAGGGGGCAGAGTGGGCCAAGGAACCCCATCCCGGGTTCAGATCCCACCCCAGGACACAAGAGAGAATCGTCATAGTGGCCAACAGCCATGGCCCCGAGTCACTGCACTGTTCTGCGTGACTGGCCATCTCAGCTGGAGAGACACCCAGGCCTGGAGGAGCAAGGGCCGCTGGCGGTCCGAGCTGAGGGAGCGCTGGGGACTGCAAGGCATGATGGAGATGCAGTAGCAGGGGGAGCCGTTCGTCCACCATTCAGCACAAACGGAGACGCTTGCATAGCACCTGGCTGTAGCCTGTGTTATCTGCTACTTCCCTAGCCCTCCGGTTCATAGGATCATAGAATATCAGGGTTGGAAGGGACCTCAGGAGGTCATCTAGTCCAACCCCCTGCTCAAAGCAGGACCAATCCACAATTTTTGCCCCAGATCTCTAAATGGCCCCCTCAAAGATTGAACTCACAACCCTGGGTTTAGCAGGCCATTGCTCAAATCACTGAGCTACCCCCCTGCCGAGGGATCCCTCCCATGCATTTTTAAATGATGCAGCACACGCAACCTCATGGGTCAAACGATAGGCCTGCCTGACAGCAACCCCCCGAAACAAGCCGGGCAACGCAGGTTACTAATGTGTTCACCCCGCAATGAACAGCGCAAGCCGCGTCAGAGCTGGACTGTCTGCAGCGACTCCGCTGCAGAACAGTCCTGGGAGGTGCCCGCTCCCTGCCCACGCCATTGAGAGGATTAACTGAATACATCCTCTGTTGTACAAGAAATGCCCTCACTACGAGCCAGACCATTAAGTCCCCCGCTCAGAACTGAAAGGTCATTAACACACCCACATCACTTGCCTGCTCATGCTTGCATTGAGCCAGCTTCTTGCGCTGGGGTTTACTGGAAGTCAGCTGGTTAATGACGTATTTGTTTGTACAGCAACTAGCGCAATAAACACCTGCTCAGAACCTCTGGGCACCACCACAGTATCATAACCACTTCTTTTATGCGTAATAACAATAGAGGCTGCTCCAGAGAGAGTTTGGTGCCTACTAAGAGGGGTGGGTTGGCAATTTCAGGCTATGCATGCAGTGCACAGATTCTGCCAGCCACGTGTAAGCCTTTAGTGCTAGCAGCCAAAGTCCTGTTTATCGATAGGCAGGTACCAGAAAAACAGCTGCAATGCAACCCCACCCCCCGCATAAAGCCCCTGCCCACAGGCCTCCTTCCAGCCCTAGGATGCCCCCTACCTGGGACTGGCATCCTTGCTGGTAATTAGGACTCATGTTGACACACATCCCACTGCATAACAAATTGAGACATAAGAACGGCCACAGTGGGTCAGATCAAAGGTCCATCTAGCCCAGTGGTCTATCTTCAGACAGTGACCAATGGGAGGTTCCCCAAAGGGAATGAACAGAACAGCAAGTGATCCATCCCCGTCACCCATTCCCAGACACCGCACATGTCACATAGGGGTCACGTACCCAGGCCTCTCCTCATGTAGCATCAGACTCCACTACTGCCTCAGTTTCCCTTCTTCCACAGGGAAAGGAGACCACCATGCCTGGAGCTTTGCAGTTACCCTCCCAGGCTCCACAATCCATTCCCCCACACATATACTGCAGGGGACTTCAGCCAGCTCTTTACTTTTCACTGGCAGACAGACCCTTCCAGAGCCCCTGTAAGAACCTCACACAGCCTTCCTGCTCTCTGAAGCATCCCCCTACACTTAGCCTCTGGGTCTGAGTCACATGCTCCCATTATCTGCCCCTGGGGCTCATTCCTTTCACCTGGGGAGGTGGGTGAAGCCTGCCACAGGCTCAGCTGAGCCACAACCTCCTTAAAGGGCTAGTACCCCTGTAACCGGCCACCAAATAGGCATGGGGTGTGAATGAACCTCACTCACTATGAACCTGCCAGATCAAGGGCAGATTCTGGCTACTTTGTGGCACAGAGTGGCCAGAAGTAGGGAAAGGATCCGGCCAGTGGTGTCTATTTTTGAGCGTGTGCAGAACAGAGCCTGGAGAGACCTGGTCACTGCCCCAAGGGGCTTGCAATCTAGACAAGTAATAAATGTTCAGCACCGGCTACCCCGGTGTCAGACTGAGCCTGGCCAGCTGCACGGCAGGGGTCTGCTCCAAGGAAGGCGGAGCAGTGGCATTTTCCAAGCTGTCTCCTTTGTTATCCCCTGCCCAGAGTGCTGATCTTTTCAGACCCCCCAAACTGCCGCCAGGAAGGGTTAGTGTGTGGGGTTCTATGCCAGCCATGGAGGGGAAGGGAGAGACAGATGGGGCCTCTAGACCTGTGGGGAGCGGGAGATGGCTGGGGCTCCAGGCCTGTGGGGAGGGGAAGATGAAAGGGGGCTCCAGGCCTGTGGGGACTGGAAGCAGAGATGAAGGGGGGCTCCAGGCCTGGCGGGAGGGGGAGATGAAAGGGGCTCCAGGCCTATGGGGAGGGGGGAGATGAAAGGGGGCTCAGGCCTGCCCCAGAGGAGACCAGAGGGGGTATCAGTGGAACGAACAGCACCCAGCACTGCCCTTTGTTGGCTGATTGCGGGGCTTGTGTTTCCAGGCCTGCCGTGGGAATGAGATGGATCCGGGTGTGTGGGTGGAGACGGACAGCGCCCGGCCCCCAGCAGACAGCTTCTCGCACTACCTCTCCATCCCAGACAGCACCGCCGTGATGTTCGCCTGCAGCCCAGGTGAGTGAGAGCAGAGATGGCCCCGGGACCCGAGGCCGGAAGAAGCTGGTACCCCAGGGGTGATTCTGCTCCTTCAGGTCTAATGCCCTTCTGGCCTGTCGTGCTGTGCCAGCCATCCCCTTCGGACAACGGCCGCGGAGGCCTGCTGCCGCACAGGGAGCCATCTCGTCTCCAGCAACAGCCACCAATTCAACTCTGTAGCTCTGGTGCCGGAGTCAACAGCTGCCCCCTTTCACACTATTTTGGGAAAGAAACGTGGAACTTCTTTCCTCAGTTAAACGTGGAGGAGGTGGGGAGAATCCCGCTGAAAAGGCGAGCCACAGGCTCATAGGGAAACAGTCAAGTCTCAGCCCAGGATCCGCAGGGATATGGGCTCAGGGTGATCTCCGCTAGACTTGCACAGCCCGTGGCCCACAGAGTGCCCCCGCATCATCCCAGGGGTGTATCGACGGATATCTGCTCACTGTACAATGCTGGGCCATTGGGGGGGGGGATTGTGCAATGAGGGGGGCCCTGATATGGGGTTTGATGGGGGAGTCATGACACTAGCTGCAGACATTTTCCAGGCTGCTTCCCCTGCCCCAGGGCCCAGCCCTGCCCCCTGCCGGCCGAGAAGGGAACGAACTTGCTCTTGTCTTGCATTTGGGGGGGTGGGACAGAGGCAGAGGACACAGAAAAAAGGAGGGAGTGACTGTTCCTTCCCTTCACACCCCTGGCTCCCACTCCCTCAACCCAAGGCTTTCCTCCGCCAGACGGGCATAGTGCACCCCTCATCCCAATCAGTCGCTTGCCCCTGTTCCCATGCCGGCCCTGCACCTCTCAGCAGGCCTCTGGAGGGGAAGGAGGGAGACATTTTTTGATGCAGGTTAATTTAAACTGAAACCTGCAGGTTTCCACAACACGGTGCTGGAAAGACCTGAGCTGAGGCCCCAGGATAGCTTCTCTTCTAGCACCAGGGCAACGCACCGTGGCTGGCAAACAGGGGCAGTCGTTTCTGCTACCAGTTCTGTGTTTGTACAGAACCTGGCATGATGGGGTCCTGATTCCATTCTGTAGTGTAGAGGGGGCCATGGAAACAGTGGGTCAACCAGTCTCCTCCCTGCCACCAGCACAGTGAATGAAGCAGCCCTCTGGGAATTTACACCCACAAGAGACGACAACATCCTTTCTTTGGTATTTTCAGGCTATAGCGCTTTCCTAAATCCACTGGGCTCTATGTTTCTCCAAACCTTGCTGGAGTTTCTGGAAGGAGATGAGAGGCATCTTGAACTTGCACGGCTAATGACCCGCATCAGCTGGAAAGTCGCGTTTCATTGCGAAGCCAAAGGGCAATACAAGGGGGACAAGGAAATGCCCTGCTTTGTCACCAACATGGTGCGAGAGGTTTATCCATTCTCCACCCAAACCACGGAGACCGGCAGCCTCTGAGAACTCAGATCTCACCGGAGGGAGCCACCAGCTGTTTTCCAACTCTTTCAGGAGCGCTGTACATGGCCAGTCACTGCAAGGGGAATCACAGAGCGCGTGAGGGTCAGCAGCATTTCTGTCCCGACGGCTTCCCAAGTCCACAGGACAAGGACTTTTGTGTTGTATGGGCAAATAAAGGGCCACGCACCTCTCCAGTGCTCCATGAATAATAAAACTAGCACTGCACTATTATTTAACACGTATTCTAGAGACTCAGCTGCTTGATTCTGGGCCAGCTTCTGGCTGCGCAATCGTTAAAGTTGCAACAGCCTGTTTACAACTAAATTTTCCAACCTCTAAAATCCACATACACAATCAGAGCAGGTTGAAAACTGGTGGCCCAGTTCCAGGCCCAAGGCAGAGCAGGTGGAGTAAATTTGAGTTTATTTGGTTAAGGAATTCCTGAGATAGGAGCCACCACTCTGTTTAACTCTTTCAACTGTCTTTAATTTTTTTTTTTTTTTTTTGCAGAGATGGCAAAAAACGAATAGGCAGGATTCACCTGAAACTTCTCCTAGCCGAATGCCTCCTTTGAAATCTAGTATCTGATATTAAGAATAATAGTAAGGGCTGGGTAAGGTGCTGTGATGATGCCGGTAACTCTTGGCAGCCGAGAGGGGGCAGAGTTAAGGGTGGGAGGCAGCGGTGCACGCAATACTCTGCATTTCCCCATTCTCCAACGTGCATTTTGGGAAGAAAACTCCCATTCCAGAGAGGGTGGAGGAGCTCAGGGCTCAGCTGAGCACCTGAACCTTAACGGAGTTGCGTGTGTGGATCAAAGATTACAGCATGCGCTGATCGGTTGCACCTGTGCCAAAACCCAAGGGCCCCTGTGCAACCCCAGTGCTACCTGTTGGGTCTGGCTGAGTATCTCCAAACACCGTCCGGCCCTCAGTGACTTACATTTCAGTCACCAGGGCCCCACACAAGTTCCTCAGCTCAGCCAGGTGGTCAATACACAGATCAGCAGTATCCTCTGCTAGGCTAGCTGCCATCTGCTGTGAGCGTGGAACACCTGATCAACTCTTTCTGAGCTTTGCTAGTTACAGCCAAACTGGACCAAAGTGCAAATGGTTATGTTTGCATGGGAGATAAGCGAGTTGATAAGAGGGGAAGGATTTCCTGTTTAAAGTGAGTTTGCGCCTCGTTTAGTGCAGGAAGCCAGGGGTCAGCTTGTGCAAACTGAAATCAAATAAAAAAGCTGGTGGTACTTTCACCCAAGAGCATTGCACCCTCTATCTGACGCTCAGGAGGGTCTGAACTCTCAGTTTAGCAGGAAGGGCCAGGTTGGTACATACATCCCTCTTTAGGGTGCACGCCCCAAGCCTGGTTTAGGTGGCACATCTTAATGGAGCCGCCTAGGGGTGCAGGGACCTGGCGGCCGCTTCCCAGGAGCAGTGGTAAGCGTCGCCGCAATCCCACATCCCAAACCTCCTCCTGCACTCCAACCCTCTGCCCCAGCCCGGAGTCCCCTCCTGCATCCAAACTCCCTCCTGGAGCCCGCACCCCCCTCAACACCCTGCCCCAAACCCCTCATCCCTGGCATCACCCCAGAGCCCACACCCCCAGCCGGAGCACCGCACTATGGGAAAGATTCCTCCGCCAGATCAAAAATCCACATGGACGGAGAGCACGTTCCCACTACTGTCAGTGTGGTAAGCCATCCAACAAAGCCCCTTCATTGCCACATCTTGTCTTGGGTGGTTCTGTTGTACATGCTGTTGCAACTAGAGATAAATGTGTTTAAGGTAAACTCTGCCCAGCCCTGCTCTGCCGCAGCTGGGTTTACGTGTAGTTTAAATTCTAGTGCATTACTGAGTTTGTGGTAAAAAAAAAAATTGGGATTATTTGGTTAAGCAGCCCAAGAGGGTGAAAGACTGGAATGTGGGGGTTAGATCACGAGAATATGTTGGACTGGGTTTTATTTTCAAGTCAGCAGGTGGTTGGGATCAACAAGACAATGCTGCTTTTGCACAGTGCTAGGAGAATGCAATAAATTAAACAACCCTAATAAAGTGTTCACAAGCAACATCTGGTCTGTTACAGGTGGGAGGCAGATGGGGAATCCAACTGCCTCTTTAAGGGGATCAGCTCTAGCCTAGTATTCAGACAATACAACAACGCAATCTGCGTTGCTGTTCTGAGGCTTTAAAGGAGGCAGGCAGTAAATAGAAGGGTGAAATTACATTTCTTTATTGTGTCCATTTCTTGACTTCACCACACAGAAAAGTACAAAGGATTAGAAAATTCTGATTCTTCAAAGCGAGTCTCATTTTACCGCAGCAGAACCCAAACAACTCATGAAGTCAACCCAGGAAAGTAGCTGACCTAGCAGACTAATGACATTTGGCAAGAAATGTATTCAGCAGACTGTTAGTTTGAAGTTTATGCCATATCTGAACACAGCCAAACTGTTCGGACCTTTACCTGTTTGAGACTTGTAGAATATCCTACATCAAGTTTAATACCACAGAAATCAATGAAACATGGAGACCATTCCCAGAGATTTCGTACAATTCAAGAATTACAGCAACTGTCACTAGAAATAGTCCACGCTCGAATTAAGAGGATAGCAGGAGGAGACTACGTGTGAATCCTTCACTGATAGCTTGGAAATGTACAGAGCTACACTGCATTTGAAGAGCTGTTTCTATGGGTATGAACAGCACAGTAGCTGCACAGATCCATGTTAAGAGCTGTCATATAAATATTGGTTGTTCCCAGCCACATGTGGTGTCTTTACTACCCTGTGAAGTTTGCACTCACTGTGTGCTATGCATTTCTGTTGAGCCAGCCCACACGCCAGTCACATGGCAAACTACAGATAACTGGAAAATGCTTCTACACACAAGCTATGGACGTTCTTGTTAGTCTGACAGAAGCGTAGGAACTATCCCTGTATCTTAGTTCTCTCTGCACATACCAGACTGTACTGCTAACAGTACATAGACAGAAGGGCCCTAGCTCTAACAGGGTTCCTCATTAGTCCATGCCTGCAGGAACATTTATGAGGCTGCGTTTCCAAAACAAAGCAGAAAGATTTTCAGATTAAAATAAAACAGTCAGTCGAAGAGACTGAAGAAAGGAGGCCTCCAGACTCTGTGACAAAACAAACAGGTTTGGTACAAATCCTTCCAAAATGTTTTCTGATTCAAAGGGGGACAAAGCAGGTAAAAAATAAAAACAGGAATTCCCAGGAAAGCAGGAAGACGTGGCTAAGAATTGCAACAGTTATCATGTCTTCAAGTTTTTGCCTCTATCATAAACACACGTGAAATCGCAGCCTCAAATTCTGCACCCCTTAAATAAATGGGCCATAGAACACAGCATCACAGGCTTCCTAAATCATGTTATATGTTATCTTAAAAATAAATAGCACAGTTATGTTTCACACAAGTTCCCTGTCTTTGAGAAGGTGCATTTCCTTCAGAGACCTGGACCTGTTTATCCTCCTGAGAGCAGGATGCTCCCCCCCACCTCCCAAAAATGGCTCCTGTGAGGATCTCCCATATCAGAGTTCAGAAAAGTCATCTTTCTTAGGGGCAGCTTCCAAATAGATTTAAACAAATATATGATTCCCCCCCCAGTCAAACCTACACTTCGGCTAATGTCTTTCAGTAAAAGTAAGTTGCTTTGGTTTTCTTTTTTAAATAAGTTAAGCTCTGCATACACATCCCTCTCCCTCCTATGTGGAAAACGAAACTCTGAAAATATCAGCGATGGCTTTAATGTCCAGATGTGAAGATTTCTTAGCCCAGATGCTGTCTTAAATATTACTGCAGTCTCTTAGTGTTCCTGCAGGTCACCAAATGCTGTAGACACCAAGGAGGAAGAGACCGGGGCAGGTTTGCCTCATCAACCATTTTTGGAACATGCCAAGAGAAGTAACCCAACTATTAACCAGCAACTTGCCCAAGACGGAGGCCAGGTTCTTCCCTGTGCCTCAATCAGCTGACAAGTGCATTGAAAGCGAGGATGTAGCTTTTCACATCCAGGCTTAGATATGTATTCTAAGTTTCCTCCTATGCAGGTGTGTGTGTCAGCAATTTTTTTGTAAAACTCAGAACTGAGAAATAAAGAAAACAGCCACAGACAAAAGAACAAGCCAGCCAGCCACCATATACAGATTTCCCAAACATTCCTGGTCTCAAAAGTAAAGACCTTGTGGAATATAACTATGAAAATAAAAACAGGAATAAATAGTGGGCCTCATTCAACACTTTTTCCCAGCCTTATATCAGAAATAGAAGCAATACCAGTATACATCAGCCCCTGGTTTATGCAGACAAGGAATCTAAGAGTTCCACAACAACACTGAGGTAACAGCTCTGCATGGAGTGGCTGGTTATAAGTACGTTCAACTAAATAAAAGCACAGCTCAGAGCTGAGGAAGGCCAAGGCCAAAGGAAGAGGAGAGGGGACATCCTGTAGATGACTCTGCAGGAAGATATTCTGTTACATCGAACAAATCCCTTTCTATATATTTTCAATCTGCCATTTACTTTAGAGGAAATATTTCTGCACTAACCCAACAAGCCTCTCTCATGGGCTCTGTGTGGGAGCTGCCGTGCACGATGGCATAACAGCACTCCCAATTTGAGGAATGAATGACATAGGCCAGAGCCCATATTGCACAGCTCTCCACATTGTGCAAATCAATGCCTTGTAAAGACATCTGTTTCGAAGCTGCCTGCTTAAGGGAGCCATACTGCTGCTATGCAACACAGGCATGAAATACTGCCATCATCTGTCCAATGCACCAAGTCACCAGCCGTCCTTGCCCTATTTCCACTTTCAAATACTCTCTCCGCACTTTGATAAAGGATAAAAAAAATGGACACCCCCCCCAGACAAAGTGGGAATTGACTTGTACTATACAAGTACAATGGATCTGACCTCTATCAGCGGGAGAGTCCATTCAGTACTGAAGAGAATCAGCTATGTTGGAAATTTAGCGGTGGAAGAGCTGACTTGTGGGAAGGGGGTATGAACTACAAGTGGTGACGCTGTTTTCTTCCACCTGAACATTGCCAAGTTCCTGTGACAGCAGCATGGGGGAGGTGGGAAGGTTTACAGAGGCAAAGTTCACTCAGACTTTGCCATGGAGGCTTGGCACAGAGCTTCATACACACTCCTTGCATTCTTTCACAGCATCCACTCTCTAAATATTTCATCACCATTAGTGCAATCACCTAAACACCAGGGATGACATCAGGAAAAACAGTCCATCAGGAAATCTGCTAGCACATTTAGGGTGGACAAGCAAAAATCAAAGTGTCAGGGATTCCCCACACATCTC